CCTGGCCGTTTAGGCTCAGGTACTGAGTTGGAGCGATCGTACCTTGATCGCGTGGGAGGGAAAGATATCCATCTATCCCTCCATCTCTCTACCAACGGATCAGGGGTTCTGTGCCCTTGTACTTCAACCCCATACACACTATGTGGGATGCCTCAAGGACTAGGGCTGGGTGTATGGGTGGGTGTTGTTCATGGACTTGTTTGCCACCACCACCACAAGCTGAAGGGGGGAAGGTGTGGAGGATGAGGAGGAGGACGAAGAGGAGGAGGAGGAGGAGGAGGAGGAGGACCCCCTCCCTCTTCTACTTTTGGTGGTGGTGGTGAAAAACAAGCCCACCAGTTGTGATGTGATATGATGAGATCTGACGTTATGTGTGATGTTGTGTCGTGTCGTGTCCTGTGCCTTGCGTGTGCGCGTGCCCGCCAACTCTCCGCTGGCACGACTCTCTCTCTTTTTACCCACGACGGCCACTCCTGCACGCGGCGGTATCATATTTACTTGTTGTCTCGCTTTCTCTCTCCCTCGCTATATATATACACACATACATGTATGTCTCTCTCTCTCTCTCTCTCTCTTTCTGTCAGTTTCTCTGTCTATGCCTCTCTTTCTCTCTCTCTCTCTCTCTCTCTCTCTCTTGCAGTATTTGTATCTCCCGCTCTCTCTCTCTCTCTCTCTTTCTCTGCCCCTCTGTCTCTTTCTCCCTCTTGTCTTTCACCGATTGTGACCAGCGCGCCGTGGAGCAAATGCTTGCTGTAGAGATGTTGCGTGCTTCTGTGTGCGTTGTTTTACTTACGCTTGTGTGTGATTTTGTGTGATTGTGTGTTGTGTTCGTGCTTCTGGGAGTTTCTGTGTGTGCTTGCGTGCGTTTGCTGTTGCGCGTTTGTGTGCGTGCTGGCGTGTGTTGTTGTTAGTGTTGTTGGTGGTGTTGTTGTGGTTGTTGTTGGTGGTGCTGTTGCTGTAGTGGTTGTTGTTGTGGCGGTTGTGGCTGGTGTTGTGACTGGTGTGGTGGTTGTGGTTGGTTGTTAGTGTAGCGGTTGTTGTTGTTGGTGTTATTGTTAGTGTTGCGGTTGTGGTTGTCATTATTCGTGTTGTTGGTGGGGGGCGGTACTGTTGTTGTTGGTGTTGTTGTTGTGTTGTTAGTGCTGTTGCTGCTGAGGTTGTGTTTGTTGTCGGTTGTGTTTGTGTTATTGGTGTTGACGTTGTTGTTGTTGTTGTTGTTGTTGTTGGTGGTGGTGGTGGTGGCGTTATTGGTATGGTTGGTAGTGTTGGTGTTGGTATTGTCCGTGTTGTTGTTGGCATTGTTGTTGATGGTATTGTTGTTGTTGGTGGTGTTGGTGGTGTTGTTGCTGCTGTTGGTGTTGTTCGTGTTGGCGTTGCTGGTGTCGTCAGTGTTGTTGTTGGTGCTGCAGTTGTTGTTGGTGTTATTGTTGATGGTGCTGTTGTCGTGGTTGTTGTGGTTTTGGACGTGGTTGTGGTTTTGGTCTTGGTGTTGGTTGTGTGTGTGTGTGTTCGTTCGCATGTGTGGGTATCATGGCCAGAGCCACGCGGTCTCCCAGATCTCCTGGCCCCCTCCTCTTCCTTTAACATATCCCATTCCCCCGCCCCCTCCTTCCCCCTGGCCCCCCTTTTCCTTGCCCCCCCTCGTTTCGCCTCGTCCCACCCACCCCTGGTGCCGCCTCGTCCCCCCTTGTGGCCACGCCTCAGTCCCCCACCCATCGTCCCCCCCTCCCTCGTCCACTCCCCTCCCACCCATCGTCCCTCCCTCGTCCCTCCCCCCACCCCCCTCCTGTCGTTCCCCCCTCGTTTCCCCCCCACCCTCGTTCCCCATCTCGTCCTCCCCCCCCCTCGCCCCTCGAGCGCCCGGTCCCTCGCAAAACCCCCCCTTCCCCCCCTGATCCCCTCCCTCGCCTCTTCCTGGCCACCCCTTTCTTCGGTGCGCCTGCAGGAGGCGGGGGGGAGGGGGGCAGGCCCCCGAGAGCCGCATGCAGCGCTGGAGCCCCCCCCCTTTCCCCGAGGCCCCCCCCGCACAGCCCCGCCCAGGGAGGCCCTTGGAAGCACCCAGACACTTGTTCGTCAGCGGCGGGGCGGCGAATTCCGCTCCAGCGAGAGGCTGGATGGGGCACTAACTAGCCATTTGGCCGGCGAGCGAAGAGGGGGTGGGGACGGCCGAGAGGACGAAGAACGCTCGGACGCCGAAGAATTCGACTATGAGCAGCCGGGGGGGGCAGCAGCAGCCAGGCGCGCGGGGCAAGAGCGCGGTGGGCGGCCGTGGCGAACCACGGTGGCAAGGGTGAAGAACACAAACACACGCACGCACGAACGAGCGCACACGCACAAACACACACACACACACACATGCACACACACACACACACCCAGACTGACAGACACACAGACACACAGACACACACACAGTACACACACACACACGGAGACACACACAGTACACACACACACACACACACACCTAGACAGACACACTGACACACACACACACACACACACAGCCACACACATACAGACGCACACACACACCTGCACAATTAAGCGTCGACCCGCGGGAACATACTGGAACTGCAGGGGACAACGACCATCCAAAGCATGTGGGCGAACATGTAAGGAATCCAGGGATTTGTGTATTTTTACTTGTGTGTCCCTGAGCCCCATTCAGGCTTGTCTCCTTCTCCAGAGTTCGTAGAGGAGGGATTATCCCAAGGTGGGATTTGCGAACGACCTCGGCTGGACTGTCACCTCCAACCCCGCCGCAGGCCCTTCCCAACCCGACGTTCCCCCGAAATGGGATTCTGGCAAGTTAACTGGAGGCTGTCCAAAAAGCGTTTTGTCTTCCAGGATCGAAGAAGTTGTCATCGCTTCCGCGGCGGAAGCGCGGCGGAAGGCGTCGTCCGGCGGAAGGCGGCGGAAGTAAAACAACACGCCCCCAAGAGCTGAAAACGTTTCTGAGTTCAGTGCGTCCGAAATCGGCCATTTGAATTGCGTTTTGCCTGCACTCCAGTCGCCGCTTCCTTGTTCCAGCTGCTGGGCCCAGACAGCGCGCAGGCAGCTTCAGCCTTCGGCCTGGCGTGGCCTCCAGCTGCCCCTGAGAGGGGCTCGTTGGGAGCCTCCCTCGCCCCCCACTCCTCGCAATGCCAAGCAGCCAAGGAGAAAGACAAAAACACCAAAAAACCCTCCTGCCCCCACTCCCCACCCAGACCACCTCCGACATGATATTAGTCGCAACGCGGACCTCCAGAGTTCTGGACCTTGTTTGCGGGACGCGTTCCTGGCCCCGCGCTGTTCTTTGGCTGCTTTGGGGCCCGGCAAGGGCCTTCCAGGGGCAGAAGCTGTGCAAAGACTGTCCTCGGATGTGTTTCCCGCCACGAGGCCCGGGACCACATCTTCCTGAGCCATTGAGGGCCCCAGGGGCACGTTCTGCTTTGTGGCTTCCCTCGCCCGCGCCACCCGCCTTCCCCACCACGCCGAGATGTTTATCGGCTCATTGTTTCAGTGGTAATTATCCCCTGGGGGGCATTTTGTGCTTCAGGAGCTCATAGGGCCCATGCGAATCAGACCTGCCACAGCCTGTCCACATGCGAGTTCCCAGACGCCCCCTGATGGGGCACCAAGCGGCAAAAACAATGGCTTACGATAGGTTGTCCATTTGTTTCTGGCTCCGCAACGGGGGAGGGCTTTTCCTATTCTTATATTTCGATTTCCCGGACCCCCCCCACACCCCTCCCCCTAAACCGGACCCCCCCCCCAGGGACGCCCTGGACGCCCAGCCCCCCCCCCGCCCCCCCCCCCCCCCCCCAAAAAAAAAACCCCCCAACACACACCCCCCCCCCCCCCCCCCCCTCCCCCCCCCCCCCCCCCCCCCCCCCCCCCCCCCACCCCCCCCCCCCCCCCCGCCCCCCGCGCCCCCCCCCCCCGCCCCCCCCCCCCCCCACCCCCCCACCCCCCGCCCGCCCCCCGCCCCCCCCTCCCCCCCCGCCCCCCCCCCCCCCCCCCCCCCCCCCCCTCCCCCCCCCCCCCCCCCCCGCCCCCCCCCCCCCCCCCCCCCCCCCCCTCCCCTCCCCCCCCCCCCCCGCCCCTCCCCCCCAGGCCCCCGGGCACAGCAAAAACACGACAGAATAGAAAAAAAAAAAAAAAGAGAGTAATGCTGACGTAAAAAAAAGAAAAGAAAAAGAAAAAGGAAAACAATCAATAAATCAAAAAAACCAGACCCACACAAACCCAACGCCTATCGGACGTCTGCGTAGCGGACCCCTGACGGCCCTTGGAAAATGTTCGGTGGCCCTTCCGGGCCTCACAGGGCGCCTTGCCGGGCCTTGCGAGCAGACTCAAAGCGATTAGAAGGTCATCGGAGAGGCGCAAAAGAGACCCAAGAAAGTACAAGAGCGCTTCAAGAGGAACCTCGATGGTCCGAAGACGGACCACGAGGCCCCCAAGACGCCCCAAGAGGCCGTTAAGAGAGCCCCCTGAAGGAGCAAACATCGTCCCATTCCCTCGGGAAAATGTAGAGCTTAACATATCCGCTGTTTGGGTACTTCGGCAGCGTCGCAAGACGACGGCCCGATTGCCCCCGATTATTGTCCCCAAGACTGCCCAAGAGGCCCCCCTTTTGCTTAGGGGGGGTTGAGAGGGTTGAAGACGGCTCAGAGGGCCCGCAAGACTGCCCCAGAGAGCCCCGAGATCTACGCGCAGAAGTCCACGATACCCCCAGAAGGCTCCCAATAGAGAGACCCACGAAAGCCATGGGGGACCCCCAAGAAGGAGGCCCCCAAGGAGGCCCTACTAGATGGCTTCAGAGAACGTCTGGAGGGCCCAGCTCCTCAAGAAGGCCCCAGGACGGCCCAAAAGAGCACCAATAATGCCCAGGCGGCGTTTTCCTACGAAGTACATCGAGCTGACCCGGCGATATTGGTTCCACGCTTGAGGCTCGAGGTTTAAGTTCTTCGAGCCCCAGTCGCGGGGGCGGTCGTGGGCCCCGCGCGCCACCCGAGGTTCCCCTTCCCGGGCAAGGGCATCGGGGACTACCTCCAGCTCGCGGGGCTCAGCGCCAGCTGCGGCGACGGCGGCGACGCGGGCCTCTTCCGCGCCGACACCCTCGAGGAGGCGCGCGCGGCCTGCGATGCGAGGCCGAGCTGCGACTTCTTCTCGTGGTCTCGCGGGGACCGCGCGGCGATCCTCTGCTCGGGCGGCGCGGCGAGGTTCAAGGATCGAAGATGAAGGAGAAAGCATTCATACTGGTGGTGGTAAAGGGTAATGGTAATCCTAGTAATTGTAATAATAGTGGCAATCATAGTACTTCCACAATCCGTGCTTGCACTGAAATGGTCCTCGCGGAGATTGAGGGATTGGGCGAAAGTCCTGGGCCGATTTCAGTGGGCGGCCGGGTTCCTAGATTCCAGGTTGCAGGTTCCCAGGTTCCCGGTTCCGGGTTCCGGGCCAATTTCGATGTGCGGTGGGGGTCCGGGTTCTTGGGCGATTTTCTCATCGATCGGTTTTATCATCGATCTCATTACCCGCCATTCTGTCGATCTCATTATCGATGCCACAATCGATCTCACTATAGATCGCACTAGCGATCTCACGGTCGATCTCATTATCGATCTCATTGATCCGATTTCGCTATTGGCCTCACGATGGACCTTACAATCGTGCTCAACATTGATATCACTATCGTTCTCACAATCGACCTCAATTTCAATAACACTAAGTTTCCAACCATACATTGTTCCTTTGTTTCTATATGAATTTGTAATAGTACGAATGGTAATACGAATAACAGCACTACTGTTAATGTTACTACTACTACTACTACTACTACTACTACTTCTACTACTTCTACTACTTCTACTACTTCTACTTCTACTTCTACTCCGACTACAACTACGACGACTACTACGACTACTACGACTACTACGACTACTACGACTACTACTACTACTACTACTACTACTACTACTACTACTGCTGGTGGTAACAACCATGTTATTACACTTCATGGTAATAGTTGTAGTTACTACAATGGCAATCCAGAAGAATGGTAGCACTAATAATACGACTACGGCTACTAATAATAATAGTAACCGTAATAGTATGAACAAAAGTGATACGAATAATAATAGTAGCAATAATATCAGTAGTAACGGAGGTCTGCGCGGTTCTCGAGAGGGTGTCCAGAGGCCCGGGGGCCCACGGATCGATCAGCTCGAAGAACAGAGATTGGCACAACCAGAACGTTTCGGAGCTTCGCGCGGATGTCTTGGATCTGGACTGGGCCCCCTTGGCGGCGCCTCCGGCGCCACTCCTGGCGCGCTCCGCGCGCCACGGAGGGGGGGGGCGGGGCTCGTTTCGATTCCCCCGATGCGATTCGATTCGGTGTCGATGGCTTCCGATTCCGATTCGATTCGACTTCTCCCGACTCGGCTGCCGATCTCCGCCGATCCGATTCATGTCGATTGCCGATCCGATTCATCGCTTCGTTTCTGGGCTCTACTGCGGAGGGGGGGGGGTGTCCAGCGCAGACCTGAGAAGTCCGCGCGGACCTCCAGAAGTCTATGTTGGCATCGCTCGGACGCGTTCTTTTTTGCGTCTCCGCGGGGAGCATCGAGGAGCCTCTTGGGGCACCCCGCGAAACAATGCACGCACGGCATCGAAGACAATGCACAGGGCATAATCGTATGCGTCTGAGCGATGGCCAGCCTATGCCCACGGAGCGTTGGCATCCGCTGCAGGAGCACCCGTCCTCGGCGGTGGGTGTCCACCCGCGCCTGCTGGGGCTCGGCGGCCGCGGCTACGCCTCCTTGCCGAACTACCAGGCCCCGTTGGCGGGCGCGCGCTCGCGCCCTGCGGCAGCAACGGGGCGCGGCGCCGCACTCTGCCCCGTGGAGGGCGCGGCTCCGCCTGCCCGCTTCGGGCCCGGGGGGCCCTCACGGATCGATTCGGCTCGAGGGCTGCCGCGGCAGGAGGGGCCCCTCGCCTTCTCGGAGGAGGGAAAAAGGTATACCGAACCTACACCTCCACCCAGTGCCTCGTCTTCCCCTTCTTGGGCCTCCTCGGAGGCCCTCGCCCTCGTCGACACCGCCGGATTCGCCCCGAAATTCTGGTCCGAGCGCACCCCGGGAGAGGTCCCCGGGAAGCAGCGGTATCGGTATTTTGGATCGTTTAATAATCGCCCCACCCTTGGAGTGCCCGGGGGGTTTGGCCGCGGCGCGTCCGCGGGGGGGCTATAGGGGGGTTTGGGGTCCGTTCCCTTCTGTTGGGGCGCGGGGGTGGTGCCGGGGAAGGCAGGGTTGAACGCCCCGCGTTTTCGCGCTTGTCACCCTCCCGGCATCTGAATAAGAGGTTCGGAGTGCCTGTTGGTTCCCCCCCTTCCTCAGACGTCCCCCCCTCTGCGGACCGACGTCGGCGCCTCACGCGGCCCCGCGGGGGGGGGCGCGGTGTGCCGTCCCCCTCTCTCTGCGGGCCCTGGGGGGCCCTCGCGGACCGATCCGCCGGGTGCCTCGAGACGGGGGTCAATGCAAGCTCAGAGACGACGGAAGGGGGCGAATAGCCCAGGGCAGAGCAATACATGTATTCAGGTGCGCCAGTGATCTATGTCTTCGAAGAGGCTCCCTGGCGAATACGTGTAATGCCCGCCCCTGAGCTGTTCGCCCCTATCGTCGCCGCCGACAAGCGGGGGTCCGCCAGAGCGCCAGGCCTTGCGGGATCCTATGCAGAGCCAGGAGCCAGGGGCGCCCTGGCCCGGGCGTGGGCGCAGAATCCTGCAGGACCTTGCAGGATCTTGCAGAGCCTGACTGGCCCGGGTCTGGCGTGACCCGGGTCGGGCGGAGGCGGCAAAGAGGGGGGCTGACGACCAGGGGGGGTGTGGATGTCATGGCGGGGGCCATGATGTCTCCCCAGATCTCACGGCGCCTCTCCTTGCTTCAACACGTCCCCGGTCCCCCCCCGGGGCCGCGCACATGAATGCCGCCGACCACGATCTGCGCCCCCCCTTCCTGAACGCCCCCCCCTTCTTGGCCGCCCCCGAGCCCGGGAGGGCTGCCGCAGCAGGAGGGGCCCCTCGCCCTCCCCCGGGGGCAGCCGCGGCTCCGGCTCTTGCCGCGCGGGGCCCTCCGTCGGCGGCGAGGCGAGGGGGGAACGCGGGAGGAGAAGGCCTCGGATGGCTCGGCAGGCCCGGGGCCTTGTTCTGGACGCCCGAGAGGGGTACGGAGAGAATGGGTGCAGTGCCCAGCAGCAGTTCCTGTTCATTTTGGACCGGATTCGCTGTCCACGCCGCCGCGGCCTGTGTCCATTCGAGACAGAAGGCCGCCTGCCCAACAGCGGCCGCTGTTGGTTTGGGACAACATTTGTTGTTGGGCGCTGTACCCAATTTGTCCGTACCCATTTCGCGCGTCCAAGCTTGTGAGGAGGTCTGCGACAGCACTCTCCGTAGATGCAGAAGGGGCGCGCGTCAAGAAACCATCTGCTTTTCGTCAGGCTACCCTGGGTTTCTTCGCTCCGCGCGCTGCGCGGTGACTTCCCGCGCCGTCAAAGAAGCTGCTACGTTGAGGATGCTCTGGGGTTCCCCTCCGGTGCACCTCGCGCGCGGGTTTTCAGGGTTGGGCTTCCTGCGAGGGTATCTTGCGACCGCGACCGCACTGTAAAAATGTTCGGCAGGCGCGAGGGTGTGCGGGAAGATCCGCCGCCGTCTGGAAGGGCCCACTCCTTCTCGCTTCCCACCCCCCCCCCGCTCGCCGCCGATTTGGAATTTTTGGGACATATCCCAGGTCTCCGGCAGCCGTTCGGAACGACCCAGGCGCCCCCGAAGCGCTCTCGGCGAGGCGCAGGCGCTGGAACACATCCCGAGGCTGGAAAACCGCCGAGAACCGACGAAAGCGCCCGAGAACCTCGCACCCCGAGATTCCGATTCGATCGCCGCCGGCTCTGGACCTCCTCGGCCCCCTCCCGCACGGCGAAAACGCCCTCGAACCTCGAACCTCGGGCCCGAGATTCCCCCCCCCTCGATCGCCGCCGGCTCTGGACCTCTCGGCCCCCTCCCTCACAGGTTGAAGTCGGGCCTGTCCCCTACAGGGAGATTTTGAACGAAAAATTAAGAAATACCCCCAAAATACCTAAAAGATGCCCAAAAATACTCAAAAGATCGTCCCCAGACTATTGGTTGACTATTTTGGAATATTCCCCCTGGAGAGGGACAGGCCCGACGTAACCACAGGCTGGCTTTCCAGCCCGAGCCGCCTGTCTCTCCGACGAGGAGCGGAGGCCGCCGCCGCCGAGGACCCCTCGGGGATGGGGGCGGCGGCCGGGGCGACCCCCCGCCAGCGATGGCACGCCCGGCCGTCACCCGGGTGCTGGGCGCCGGTTGCCGGGAGCGTGGGTCCGCCGCTCGATGCCAAGCTCAGGGGGGAGGAGGCGGAGGAGGGGGAGGAGAAGGAGGAGGAGAAGGAGGAGGAGGAGAGGACGAGAGGGGAGGGGAGGAGAGGAGGAGGAGCAGGAGGAGGAGGAGGAGAGGACGAGAGGGGAGGGGAGGAGATGAGGGAGGAGGGAAGGAGCTCCTCGAAGAACAAAGGACAGCATAAGCATCAACGTTTGGCCGTCCGCGTGGATTTCTTGCATCCGCGCTGGGCCCCCCCCCTGGCGGCGCCTCCGGCGCCGCCCTTGGCGCGCTCCGCGCGCCAGGGAGGGGGGTTCAGCGCAGATCCAAGAAATCCACGCGGAGCGCCAAAAGTTTGTGTTTGCACAGTTTCCCTCCTGCAAGTGGAGAAGAGGTAGAGAGGGAAGAGGAGGAGAGGAGGAGGGAGGGAGGGAGGGAGCTTCCCATCTCGCGACGAAAGCTCTCTGCCCAGCTCGGGCGTGCCACTGGCCAGGGATCCCCCCCCCCCCCCCCCCAATGGACTCTCGGCGGCGGTGTTCGCTGCCTCTCCGCTGAGCTTCTCTGCCAGCCACGAGACCGCAGTTTTCATGGCGCCTCTGCGTATTTCAACACGTCCCCGGTCCCCCCCAGCTGGGCCGCGCACAGGCCGCCGGCCACGATTTGCGCCCCCCCCTCTTGGACGCCCCCCCTCTTGGACGCTCACGACTGGCCCCCCCCTCCCCCCGGCGGCGGGAAAATTGGCGGCAGCCCCGACCCCCCGACGTGTTCCGAGACGCTGGGACGCCTGGGTTAAGTCGAGCCCGTCCATCTATAGGAAGAATATTCAAAAATAGAAGAAAAATAGTTTGGGGACAATATTTTGCATATTTGTTTGGCCATTTGGGGGGTATTTGCTGACTCTTTTTAATTCTTCGTCCAAAATTCTCCTGTAGGAGGACTGGCCCGACTTACGCCTGGGTCTTTCCGCTCCGGGGCCACGGTAGGGTATCAAAGTTTCGGAGGTTCTTTGTAGCGTCTTCGTCCGTTCTTCGCAGCCCATGCCAGCCTCGGAGAGCTTCGGGGTAGTCTCCAGCAGCTGCGCCTCGACGAGGGCGGGCCGTCCGCATCGGAGGGTCGCAAGAGGCCCAAACAATACCCCCCGCAAGCCACCAAGGGATAGACGTAAGTCGGGCATGTCCGTCCACAGGAGGAATATTCCCCAATCAGTGCTTGCACTGAAGGGGTCCTAGTGGAAGTTGAAAGATTTGGCGAAAGTTTCCCGCCGATTGTGGTGGCAGGCTGGGTTCCCGGGTTCCCAGTTCCGGGTCCCCGGGCTCCCGGTTTCCCGGTCGATCTCCTCAGCGAAGACCATCCATTGATTGGGGTTTTTCTCTGGTGTCGTTTTGAGAACAGTCCAAGAATAGTCTGGGCACGATGTCTCCCGCCGCCGCCAGCGGAATCCGGCGGAAGGTTGGCGGAAGCCGGTGGAAGTGAAAAGTTCGTCCCCAAGAAATGGCAACATTGTTGGGTTCAGGGTTTCCGGCACCAGGCACGTATTGTTAGCATGCCCTCCTGCGTCCCACGTCCCCTCTTGTCGTTCGAGGGCGGCCCAGGCTCGACGCCCTCTGAGGCTGCCCTACATTTTGGCTTCCTCGCGCTCATGGAGCCTGATCGCGCCAATGCTGCTAGTCTTAAGTCGGGCACGTCCCTCTACAGGAAATTCAGAAATAAGATTAAAACATCGTCTGGGGACGATGTTTGTAGTATTTTCTTGACTGTTTATGACATGTCTTGAGTATTTTGCATTTTTCGTCACAAGTTCGCCTGTATAGGGGGACATGCCCCACCTGATGGTCACCCTGCGAACTAATCCTGAACAGCGGCCCCCCGGCCCGCGCTGTCCGCAGGCAGTCTGCGAGCCCGGGCAGGTGCTCGCGGAAGTGCCGGGGGTGCACAGCGCTTCCGAGGCGGCCAGGACCAGCCCGCTGCGGCCCCGGGCCGCAGGCGATCGCCGGCGAGGCTCCCCGTGGCCAGGGGCAGGGAGCGGGACGATGTCTCGCATGTTGTCTGTTCACCAGCCTCGAACTTATCCCTATCCCTGAGATTGACACGCCAAAAGACACGCCAAAAGGCGATGACAATCTTAGGGATGCACCCTCAGAAACTGAGGGGATCCCTAAGATCGCCGTCGTGATGAGGCGATGCCGAACATAGGGATAGGGATATGTTCCAGGCTGGTAATCTGTTTCGATCCGGCGATCGCGGACTGGATCAAGGGGGCGTGGATCAGCGACGGGTCCCGTTTTCGTGGGGAATCGCGGGTTTCCACCGCCGAGCGAGGCGGCACCGGCCGCATTTCAAGGAGGGCACCTCGCCCGATCCATGGATTTGGCGGCCGCGCGCCAAATCCATGGATCGCCAATGCATGTTTGCGCGCCCCCGATTCAAGCAGGTGGACTCCACCGATAGGACGCACTGCTGCAAATAGTCGCACTGACCAGAGGTCCGGGGCCAGACCTGCCCCCTTCCCCCCCTTCCGCCGAATGTCGAAACGGCGAATAAGAAAACGTGCATCATGTCCACGTCAGCATGCGCGCAAGGCTCTCTCGTCTGTTGCACTTCTCCGCTTCGCATGGCCTCCCTGCTCGCAGATCGAGCCTCACAGATGCCGCCGTGGATCCACTCAAGTCCGATGCGACACCCGACTCGGCGAATCGCAAAGGACCCCAGCGCAAAATAGGAAGGGATGGGTGTCATGGGCAACGTGCAGTGCGGGCGCGGCCGCAAGAACCCCCCGCAAGAAAACCAACCCTGAGAACCCGTGCGCGAGGTGCACCTGAGGGGGAAACCCGGAGCACCCCGAACGCAGCAGCTCCCTCAACGGCTGCGGAGAGTCGCCGCGCAGCGCGAGGAGCAAAGAAACCCAGGATACCCTGACGAAAAGCATATGGTTTCTTGATTCGGGGGCGGAAAGAGGGGGGGATGACTAGGGGGGGTGGATATCATAGCGGGGGCCATGGTACCTCCCCAGATCTCAAGGTGCCTCTTCTTATTTCATTACGTTCCTGGCCCCCCCGCTGGGCCGCGCACATGCCGCCGGCCATGATTTGCACCCCCCCTTCTTGGACACCCCCCTCGTGGCCGCTCCCGATTGATGCGCGCCCCCACTGTAAGAGGAGGATCAGGGCAGGCACGTAGGAGCCCATCGATCCCCGAGCGTCCATGGATCGCCGGCAGACGCCCGGGACCGTGCGGTTCCGCTGCCGGCGGGCCATCGCCGACCGACCGTCGCCAACTCCAGCTCGACGTGTCCCTCCTGAGCGCGTCCTCCCCGAACGTTGCCCCTCGTGCGGGGGGGCCGTGCTTCCCAGGAGCAATGCCAGGAGTAGGAGGAAGAGGAGGAGAGGGAGGAGGAGGAGGAGGAGGAGGAGGAGGAGGAGGAGGAGGAGGAGGAGGAAGAGGAAGAGGAAGAGGAAGAGGAAGAGGAAGAGGAAGAGGAAGAGGAAGAAGAAGAAGAAGAAGAATAAGAAGAAGACGAAGACGAAGACGAAGACGAAGACGAAGACGAAGAAGCAGAAGCAGAAGCAGAAGCAGAAGCAGAAGCAGAAGCAGAAGCAGAAGCAGAAGCAGAAGCAGAAGCAGAAGCAGAAGCAGAAGCAGAAGCAGAAGCAGAAGCAGAAGCAGAAGCAGAAACAGAAGCAGAAGCAGAAGCAGAAGCAGAAGCAGAAGCAGAAGCAGAAGCAGAAGCAGAAGCAGAAGCAGAAGCAGAAGCAGAAGCAGAAGCAGAAGCAGAAGCAGAAGCAGAAGCAGAAGCAGAAGCAGAAGCAGAAGCAGAAGCAGAAGCAGAAGCAGAAGCAGAAGCAGAAGCAGAAACATAAGCAGAAGCATAAGCAGAAGCAGAAGCAGAAGCAGAAGCAGAAGCAGAAGCAGAAGCAGAAGCAGAAGCAGAAGCAGAAGCAGAAGCAGAAGCAGAAGCAGAAGCAGAAGCAGAAGCAGAAGCAGAAGCAGAAGCAGCAGAAGCAGCAGAAGCAGCAGAAGCAGAAACAGAAGCAGAAGAAGAAGAATAATAAGAAGAATAAGAAGAAGAAGAAGAATAAGAAGAAGAAGAAGAAGAGGAAGAGGAAGAAGAAAAAGAAGAAGAAGAAGAAGAAGAAGCAGAAGAAGAAGAAGAAGAAAAAGAAGAATAATAATAAGAAGAAGAAGAAGAAGAAGAAGAAGAGGAGGAGGAGGAGGAGGAGGAGGAAGTGCATCCTTTGTGTGCCCGCTCGAAGAAAGTGCGCCCCGGGAGTGTGATATTCTGACTTGGGACGTGCTCCTGGAAGAGGAAGAAGTGCATCTCGGGCGTGCCCGCTCGAGGAAAATGCGCCTTAGGGGGGTGGTACTTTGACTCGGGGCCCGCTCCCGGGACGCCTCTGCGGGAGGAGGAGGAGGAGGAGGAGGAGGAGGAGGAGGAGGAGGAGGAGGAGGAGGAGAAGGAGGAGAGGAGCAGCAGGAGGAGGATGAAAAGGAGGAGGAGGAGGAAGTGCATCCCGTGCGTGCCCGCTCGAGGAAAGTGCGCCCCGGCGGGCGTCGTATCTGCCCCGGTCCCCCGCCCCCCCCATCCCCAGATCGCGACGTCACGGTCCAAAAACACAGCCTCATCAATCATGTTAACATAAACCCTTCAAAAAACACACTGGAGTTCCATGCTTTTGAGCCAGATTCTATGAACATTGCAGTTTCGCGTGGGACATCCTCCAAAAAATCGAGCCCCTTTTTCAGCGCGACTCTTAGACACATGCGGTTTTGCATGGGACATCCTCCCATCATCAACCCCCGATCACAGAACATACAGAGCACACACACACATCACACACCACACACACACGCACACGCACGCACACACACAGCGGACACACAACACATCCAACACAAGCAAAACACATAACGCTCACACCTAACACACACCTAACACATAACACGCATACCACACATGTCACACACATAACGCACACGTAGCACACATAACACACAACACACTTTTCATACCATACACGGACATATCTTGCACATGTGTCGGGGCACGCTCGTGAAACCTGTATTTGTGTGTTGATGCATGCATGCATGTGTGTATGCATGTATGCTTGAATGTATGCATGTATGTATGAGTGCATGCATGCAGGCTTGTGTGTATGTATGTATTTTTGCCGGTGTATATGTATGCATGCATCTATGCATATGTTTGCATGTATGCATGCATGCATGTTTACATGCATGCATGCGTGTATGTATCTATGCGTGCATGTATGCATGCATGTATGTATGTATGTATGTATGTATGCATGTATGTATGTATGCATGCATGCATGCATGCATGCATGTATGTATGTATGTGTGTATGTCTGTCTGTCTGCCTGTCTGTCTGTCTGTTTGTGTGTATGTATGTACGTACATATGCATGTATTGATGTATGTACATACGTACCTACGTACGTATGTATGTATATACGCATGTATGACTGTATGCATGTATGCATGTATGCGTGTATGTATATATATATATATATGTTTGAATTTATGTAGACATACACATCCATATAAAAGGTGGTGTATGCATGTATATTTGTTTACACGTGCAAGGTGGCATTGGGGCGTCGTGGCATGCACCTCGGTCCTTAATCCTCGGCCTGCGGGCGGACTGCGAAAGGTGAACACGTAAACACAGCTGTAATTCTAGACGCCATCCAGCAACGATGTCCAGGCGAGTTGAGGTGATCAGGGATGTGCGGGGGCAAAGAGGGGGACGGTCGAACCGTGCGAAGGAGGGAGGAGGAGAAGGAGGAGGCTGGATGGATGGATGAGGGAGTGGGTAAAAGGATGTTGAATAGTATGAGGAGGAGGAAGAGGAGGAGGAGGAGGAGGAGGAGGAGGAGGAGGAGGAGGAGGAGGAGGAGGAGGAGGAGGAAAAAGAGGAGGAGAAAGAAGGAGTAGGAGAAGGAAGGAGGAACAGGTGGAGGAGGGTAAGCAAGGGGGCCAGAGATCTCTTGGATGCCTCTCGGAGCCTCATGGGGTATCTCTTGGGCGCTTCTTTTCTTGGTGGCCTCTTGGGACGTCTTGGGGGTCTCTTGGCGGTCCTGGGGGGCTCTTGGGAGTCTTGGGTGCCTCGGGGGGGCATCTTTGGGCCGCTCGGGGTCCTCTTGGGGGCCTCCTGGGGTCCTCTTGGAGGCCTCTTGGGGCCATCTTGGAGCCATCGTGGGGCCGCTTGGGGCCTCCTGGGCGCTTCTGGGGGCCATCTTGAGGACATCGATCAACGAAGAAGGGAGCTTCTTTTAGCCCTGCCCCCCCCCAAGAGGCCAAAATGGGGCCGAAACCCCAATACAACCAATGCTTTTGGCTTCCTCGCCGAGGCCGTTTTGGACGCTCCAATGGGTCGTGGCACCGCCTGTCCAGGTCCAGGGAGGGGTCAAGACTCCCTCGCCCGCAAGCTGTCTCGCTCACTCCCACCCGCCCTTCCAACACATATGTAGCACCCAAGCCTGGCCCGAGCCGCAGCATATTCAGCAGTCGTCTCAGGATGGGCAGCTACTGGGGGCGACTCCGGCGCCGCCGCCGCCGCCGCCTCCGCCGCCGCCGCCGCCCGCCGCCGCCGCCGCCGCGCCGCCCGCCGCCGCCGCCGCCGCGCCGCCCGCAGCCGCCGCCGCCGCCGCCACCGCCGTCGCCCCCGCTGCCGAATCGCCGCACCCGCAGCCGCTGTCGCCGCAGCCGCTGCCGCCACCGCTGCCGCCGCCGCCGCCGCCGCTGCCGCCGCCGCCCCCGCCGCCGCCGCCGCCACCGCCGCCGCCGCCACCGCATCAGCTGCAGCCGCTGCCCCTGCCGCAAGCGCCGCAGCCGCCGCCGCCGCCAAGTGTACTCTGTGTTGTTTTTTGATAAGGGATGGTGGGGGGAGGCCGCACCGGTTTCGCCGCGCATGCTCCGAATTTGGAGGCAGAGTGTGTTTTGTATTGTTTTTCTGCAAGGGATGGTGTGTGGAGGGGGGTGCCAGCATTGTCCCTGGTTGGCTCCCAGTCGCGTGGGGGAGGGGGTGTATATTAATAGGGAACAGTGATAAACCTTTCCCCTAGGGGGGGGAAAAGGGGGTTGGAAGAGGAACCGCCATAGACCATGGACCATTTACGTCTAGAGAGCTGGTGGGAGTCCTTGTTGCAGTTTTCGTCGTTGTCGTCGTTCTACTTCCCCGAACAGGTGCTTGCACCTAAGGGTTCTTACTTGCTCTGGCTAACCATCTGGTCATGCCTGCCTGCTTTTCGCCTCCGTGCCGCCCCGTGCCGCACCCTTGCCTCCCCGTGCCGCCCCCGTGTCGCCCCGTGCCGCCCGCGTGCCGCCTCGTGCCGCCCCGTGCCGCCTCGTGCCGCCCGTGCTGCTGGCCATGGCTGTAGTAGTACTAGCAGTATGAGCGGTACTAGTAGTTGCAGCAGGCAGGAGCAGCAACAGCAACAGTAGTAGTAGTAGTAGTAGTAGTAGTAGTAGTAGTAGTAGTAGTAGTAGTAGTAGTAGTAGTAGTAGTAGTAGTAGCAGTAGTAGTAGTAGTAGTAGTAGTAGTAGTAGTAGTAGTAGTAGTAGTAGTAGTAGTAGT